TTTCAGGCTTCTGCGTCTTGTCACTATTACAGCAGCCATAGACAACTACCCAAGTTATTGGGCCAACTCTGTAAAGGGATGGATGTAAGTTATAAGTTTGTTTACACAACTCTCTCTTATTCTTCTTCTTTTATTTTTGACAGGCAGAGTGGACAGTGAGAGAGAGACAGAGAGAAAGGTCTTCCTTTGCCGTTGGTTCACCCTCCAATGGCCCCCGCGGCTGGCGCACCGCGCTGATCCGATGGCAGGAGCCAGGTACTTCTCCTGGTCTCCCATGGGGTGCAGGGCCCAAGGACTTGGGCCATCCTCCACTGCACTTCCAGGCCACAGCAGAGAGCTGGCCTGGAAGAGGGGCAACCGGGACTAGAACCCAGTGTGCCGGCGCCGCAGGCGGAGGATTAGCCTAGTGAGCTACGGCGCCGGCCTCTTATTCCTCTTTTGAGTCTGTGTTTTCTTTTTCCAATTCTATAGTTTGCTACAGTATGTGGTTTGACAGTTTTATCAGAGTATTTTCCATATATTCCACTCAAATTTAATGAAAAATCTTACTGATTGGGCCACTGAGCCCTAAATACATGCTTTCCTGTTCTTGGTGATTTATGCACTGCTCCTTTGCAAGGACCCGTATTCTAATACTGTAGGCCATGGTCCAGCCACTGACTGTGTCTCCCCTTTGTCCATGTGCTTATTTCCTACAGCTCTGTTATCATCCAACATTATGCCATTCAACTTACATCAACGTATCTTTTGATCTTAGTTCAAAGACCAAGACTGTGAGTCCTTCTGAAAGTACTAATAATAGTCGCACAAATTAGGTAAAAATGAGTAACAATTAGTGCCTTTAATAAACAATGCAGGATGTTCTTCCAGGCAGACAACATATATTCACCAGCTTCATTCATTCTACTGGTGGCTATTTCCATGTTAAAAAACTGAAAACTCACAAACTTCCTTCTGCCCAATCTTTGTTTAGTGTTGGTAGCAAGGGTTAACCCTTCATGTTTTATGTGAAGCATAGAAGGTTGCTTCCTTTTTGGAAAATTCAAGTTTATTTTCTGGGGCCTAGCTATTGCCTCTTCTCTTATTCAAACAGGGGGCATTTAAAAAAGAAATTTCTCTCTCTTCTCAATATCTTATTCTTCTAATGGGTAACCTCAACACTATTTTTCATTCTGTTGTGCCTCCTTGAAATCTTTTTATTTCTGTTTTCTTCCTAGGTTATTTGTTCCACACTGTCTAAACACCATTTATTCAGGTGGTTTTCAAGTGTTTCACCTTTTGTATCAGAGAACAGCTTAGATTTATGGAGCACATAATTGGTGGCCTCTTCAGGCAGAAAGTCACTGATGAACCTAGAGTTCTTTAGTTTCCACAGCTGAAGCCACACAATAGCTTTTGGGGTCAGCTTTGCTTCAATTTCTTGAATCATACCTCTCTCTAACAAAGGTGCTTTGTGAAGCCCCAGGTCAAAAGCTTGATTCTTGAGTATTGACCAATCTTGCTGCAAGTTCCGCACTAACATAAGTTTTTGGATGTGGATTCTTACTTGTTCTTTGTTAATCAGCATGTGCTTATAACTAAGTAATAATGATTGAGGACTTAATATGCACTATAGCCCACATTCATTTTTGTCCTTGGCTCTTGCAGCTACCTTATGTGTTGGGTCCTATTATTATCCATAATTTTAGATGAAGACCAGGCTTATTGAGTTCAAGTAATTTCCTTCAACTCTTGCAGGTGGTGAGTTGGAGACGGTGTCAAAACCTATCTTGGTATGACTACCAATCCTACTTACAGGATGCAACTGACAGCATGTGATTGGATCTCTTCTTTATTTTCTTTTCTGGAAATGTGAGTCCTTTTGCATTCCTGTTCCACACGGTCCCTTGTGTTAGTCCTTAATATTGGAGCCCTGGATCCCTTGGAATCTTTCTGCTATTTATATCAGTCCTCCTGGCAGCTCTGTCTAAATAAATGTCTACTTATTCTAGCATATGGCTGCCACTTGTCACTGTTGGCAGTGACACCACTACGCTACCACTGCATTCCTCCTAAGCAGTGGTTCTTGTTTCCAGGTTAATATCTCTGTCAATGATACTGTGATGAATACAAGGAGTCCAATTCAAGGCCAACAGAAGTGTATGTTGTAAGGGCAGGGATGAGAAAGGGAGAGATTGATCTGGGAGACATTTTGGAGTACAATTATAATGTGTGAAGACACAACATTGATATGCAAAATGTTTTTCAAGCTACCAGCACAAACTAATCAGAATGGACACCTACTATAATACTAGAGCAGGTTTGACGGCATCCTGCTATGACAGGTGTTACCCTGTTACTGGCTGGATGCTGGTGGAGTTTTAAGAGCTTTCAGAGAAAAGCATCTTGAGATCTTGGTGAAGTCATCCTTTACTGACTTCAGAATTTTTATATTTTGACATAGATATTAGCCCTAGGATGGGCCTAAGGGAGAGAAAGGAAATTTCAGAGTGAGAAAAACTCTTGCGAGCTGAAAGATGTGTTTGGAATATGTTAAACACATGCATACACATTGCTTCTACTCTAGTCTTATGAAAGTTATTCGATATTTCTGGAACAGTGTTATCTCATGCAGCTTTGCCCAAGAAGTTCTTTCTCACAAAATATGGGAACATTTGACTTAAATACTATTTCTCAGGAAGCCTTACTCCCCATCTTGGTTTCATTAATAACTAACATGTAGATATCTCCTTTTTAGTTCTAATTTCCTTTGATCATAATTGTTGGGTTACATGCTAGCCTCCCAAATGGTGAACTCCATATCTGTATGTCTAAAACAGCTACCTCTTTTTATCTTGGCAGCCTCTACCATTAGCCCAATGCTTAAGTCATAGTAGGAAATCAATACATAGTCAAAACAATGAATCTCTTTGTTGCCATCATCTCAGCAACAGCCATACAAAGTGCTCACACTGAGGCACAGATTCTGTGACCCGTGTATCATTCAGCCTTTATAAGCAAGGGTCAAGCTTGAAGCCAGTCTTCTGATTCCAGAAGAGACTATTTGGTGACATGACATCTTTTCAAATACTCCAAATAATTAATATAAAATGACTGGGTTAGGCTCTTTGGGGGATACTTTTCACCCAGGCAAGTTTAATTTCTTTTCGTCTCCAAAGTCTTACCCTGGTTATACCCAGGAACCTATTCAGCAGATCTTGCTGCATAGCGTTTACATGGATGCTCTCTTTAAGAACTGTGTCTTAATCACAAATTCTCCTTTGTCTGAATGCCTGGGATTTTGACCCTTCCTCTGCCTATCTCTCCTTCCCTTCTGACTGTTGGCTTATTCTGAGCCATCAGATTCAGCTGTGTTGGGACTGATGCTTGTCCTCTGAGTCCCGGCTCTTCATGTGGCTCCTGGGATCTAACAACAAAACTAAACATCTAAGGACTATGATTGCTGGGACACTATGGCACACAAGACTTTTAAACCATCGCTTTATCCAGAACTTAGGCACGTGTGCTGCCTAGTTCCTATCTTACTACCTTTCAGTGCCCTTCTTTAGCACACAGCTCCTAGATGCTGTCTAGTCTTGAATTGCTCAATTCCACACTTCTGAACTCATTGCCATAGTTCATTGCTGCCCATGGCAATTTGGCTTAAATTATGAAGAAAACTTGCTGCCAGATAATTATAAATTCTACAAGTGGTATATAGAACATTCTTTCATTTTCTATAGAATATGATATACAATTTTCTAAAGAAATTGATGATAGTCATTATTTAGAATTTATTATTCAGAATATTAAAGTTATTATATTATAGAAATATATAATTTCATATAGATATTTACTCTAAACAGTTCCTGCATGCTGACATTTTTTTCAAGTGAAAAGTAAGCAAAAAGAAATCTGGAGCCATGCTGTTCAGTATAGTAGACCCATATGCCTATGAGGCTTGCAACACGGGTGATCCTAATTGACATGCTCTGTAAGTATGTAATAAATATCCAATTCCACAGACAGTACAGAAAAAATGGAAAATGTGTCCCTAATAATTTTGATATTATTTATATGCTGAGATGATAATATTTTCTATATTTGGGGTCAAATAAGTTGTGAAAATTAATTTCTCCTATTTCCCTTTTACTTTTTTAATGTGGATAACAAAAATTTCCAAGCTGCACAAACAGCATGTGTTATTTCTACAGAACTGTGCTGTGTAGGGGATAAACCTTGTGGTTCTTTAATATTCTTAAGTTAACTATGTATAGGTGGAACAGGAAATTCACATGGAATTCAAAAAGAGAAAAGTCTGTGAATGACAGAAGGAAACCTTTGCTTGGATTTTTACATTTCTGCTCTGTGTATACACTGACAAGCCACCTGCCTCAACAAACTTTGAAGAAGACATCATAATCTCCAGAGAAATGAGGCTGAACCAAATGGCATCTATCTGAGGCTTGCCACATGGTACCTAACCTCAGAGACTGAAAATCAATATTGACTTTTGTCATTTATTTTACCTTGGCATTTGAATATTCCTTAGATTTATTACCTTTAGGTTTTTGGTTAAGATGCAGTGATGGGTCTGACAGCAAGGTGGTAATAAGTTATGTAGATATCATTTAATTTATGAACTCTGGAGCTCCAGGGTAGCTTTCAGCTGAGGAAATATATTAACCACGTACACATCACCCTTCATTTTGTGGGGAGGATTTTCAAGCCGGGTCCCTATTGTGGCACTTAATTTATGGTCTGGCCAGGTACATGGATCTCCATACAATATTTCAATACAAGTTGCTCCAGCTATCAGAAGGGATGAAGATGAGCTTCCAAGAAGCCAGGTGGACAGCTGATGGATTGCTCTCTTGCACATGGGGCTGAAGCATTAAGTAGCTTTTAAAGCTTGTCAGTGGTTTGGGTCTTTTTCTGCTCTGAGAAGCTGCACGCACTGGCTAGACAAGCAGAATCAGCCATGCTGCAGCAGGCAGAGGGCAGCTCCCAGATTTACTTACGTTGACAGCCGTAGTGCCAGGAATTTCCCGGCAGACACTCATCACACTTAGGCCCTGTCGTTCCAGTCTTACACTCACAAAATCCTGAGCCATTACAACGATCATGGATTGAGCCCAAAGGGTTACAATAACACTCTGTAGAAACAAGACAACACACAGGCTGGAGACAAGTCTGCATGGCTTATAGGTTATCAACATAGGAGCATCACTTATTTAAATGAGTCACTTACTTGAAGAAAGGTGTCCATTAATGAAATGCTTTGGCAAATATGGCTATTTCTGGACCATTAATTTATTTGCCCTGCCTTCCATTATACCATTTTTATGATATGGGAGGAAATCAACTGAAAACTTCCAAGGAAATAAGACATCGTGCTTTTCACTGGTAACAGACCATAGAGATTCCATTTGTTAGCACATTTTCAGATGGTTTAATGAACACTGTGAAAAGTTCGAGTATCAAGGATAAATCAACATTCTATCACCGTACTACCTGTTTTAAATTATTCAAATGGGCTTATTTGTTACACTTGATATTTGAGAGTTGCTGAGTATTTTAAAAGTGCAATATGAATGCACTTTGCTTATTTAAAGATAATTTTACTTTATCTTTGAGAGAGCACCTTAACTTCTTTATGTATATACTGTTTTGTGATGAGCCTTTAGATATTGCATTGCCTAGGAATGTTAGTACAGTATTTATGAAACCTAAATTAAGAGTAATGAAATAAAAATAAATTTTGGAACCCAAAATAAATTTCAGTATAGGTATAGTTGAGATGTTAATCTCTCATTATAGTGTCTGCTGGTAGGACAATATATGTTTGGCTAGTACAAAAATAAGTAGAATATTTTCTTTTTCCTCACACACTCTTTTAGGGATATTTTTATTTTTGAAGTTTATTTTTCTTTGACAGCCTCCACCTTATGTACAAATGACTATGTTGTCTACTCTCCAGTCTACATACAAAGGATTCTTTAAAAAATATCATTTATGGAACCATGGCCAATGGTAGATGTGGGGTAATGAGAATGCCTTTAGAGGGTCATATTTGATTCTGTGAAACTAGGAAGATTATGCAGGACTGTCAGATTACCAAGCAACATGAAATACTTTGGGATGCTTGATTGAATTATAGTTATTAAAAGTGCTTGTGTATGCTTTGATATACATAAGATAACTCTGATGACCTGATCTTGGGTTTCAAGGAGAATTAAAAATAATACATCAAAACTTTGAAATATGTTTAGCAGCGACTGCTGAACTCTGCGTTTCATTCTGATGCAAAGCTTGTTAGCAGGGATTATTAACAGTGATTACCCAAGGTCACAGACCATGTATCCTCCAGCTTCCTGCTTAATGTTCAAGTTTATATGAAACAGAAGCATGCAAGGATGTCATCTTCATGTAATTGTTGGGTCATCACAGAGTAATTACATGCATCTTTGGAGAAGGGGCTGTGTTTGTAATTTGTATGAAAAATAGGTAAATTTGCCAGGCATCACAAAGCAGCCATCATTGGCAGAAAGGACTGGCCAGCTGCATTGTATATTTGCTGTAATAGAAAATGATGTGTTTTAAAACATCTATTTCAACACATACTACATTTTGTCAAAGATATGAGCTGTTTCTCCACAGCTAGGATGGTGAATTGGATTGCCAATTGTTAGAAAATTGGCAAACTGCCTTTTTTCTTTTAATTTAGAGAAGACTTAGATGAAGTTCGAAGTTTCCAAGTTTACTGCCTAATCCGTGAAAGAGTCGTGTAACAGCCACTCATTTTCATTAGTGCTTTCTATACAAAATAGTATTAAAATTAACTCTCAATTACTTGTGGTGAAACCTCTTAAATTTAATTCTCAGCTCTGCCTTAAGCCCTTTGGGGAGCTTACATATGGAAAAGAGTGAACGGGCTCATGCTGTCTCATAGAGCAAAATGTGGCCATGGAACCTCCAGAGCAAACCCTAGTTCTAGCCGTGTGCACAGGCAATGCCAGCATCCCCGCCTTGGTCTCTCCAGTGCGGGAAATGAAATTTATCACTCTTTGGGGAAATTGTTGTTGTTTCACGGTAAGAATATAAAAAAGATAGAAGCCCATATCTGTTTATCTGTTAGCCAAAATATACAGATTATTTTAAAAAACTAATTTTTCACTTTTGGTAAAGGTCAACAATTGAAGGGATTTTAAGGTGTGTGTATGTGGGGGGCGTGGATAATGTGATTATTCTAACGATAACTAAGAATGCTCATCTTTGTCTTGAAGAATTTTATTTGGTTGAGGAGTATAAAATGCTAAATAGAAATATGTTTGTTCAATAAAATAAAATTCCCCAAGGGTTTATAATTTTAATTAACATTTTTTAGAAATGGAGAAAACAATTGTTTTTGCTTTTTCAGTAAAATAAACATAAAACAGCTATTAAATCTTCCATATTTCATCTGCAGTTTATGTGATTTATAAGACAAAAGTAGGATGGGCTATCTTCCAGTCCATGTACAATTGAATACAGGTTTATAAAAAAACTACAACTCTCAGACTGGATGAGGAGAAGCAGACTTTGTAGTTCATTGATTACTTTAGGACTGAGAAAAGGTCAAACTTCATAATAATAGAATACTCCGAATAAAATATATTGGGATACTGTTAAGTTATAGGCCATGAGACATTTTATATATAAAACCTTTTCTTTGCAGGCCTTCTTCTTTGATTTATTTAAAATACCAGCAAATATTATGAAACATTTTTATGTAATGTATTTTGTAAAAGTGATTCAGTTTTCTTCCTGTGTTCCTAAGTATTCTACTTTTTCTGTTGTTTCCATATTGATAGTATGACATTTATTTATTTTTACAAATGGCATTCAGTTGAAACATACTCTGCGTTCAGAATTCAGACAGCTCCATGTCTTTTGGGTTTTATTAATATCCACAAATCTTTGCCGCCCAAGTGTTATGAAGGCAATTGGACTTCTGTTCATAAGCTCATCGTGGAATTGCTGCTGTCATCCCAAATGTGTACCATAAGTACCAGTCTGAAAAGCATAGCTCTGCTAATTGTGCCAGAGAGGTGGGGATAAATTGTTCAAGCTTGGAAGTTGGGGATCCCTTTGCTAAAGCTTTATGATTTGGATCAATTTGTTTTATTTTTCTCAGTAGAAAGTAAGGGAAATATTTGATATGATACTTACCCCACTGTTTGTTCATGACAGTCAAATTTTAAAAATTGTAAATCAGTTTATAGTTTATCAAGCGTTTCCTGTGCATGCCACATGTTCCTGTTATGTCCAGGTGGCTCAAATGACTTACCTAAGGCACCCAGATACTAATTAGCAATCTGGGACTTGGAACCAAGGTTTCCAGCTTCTAATTTACAAATAATAAATAAGAAAGCACTTTGAAAAATAAAAAATACTATGGACATAAATGATATTATGTATACGTGGCCCAATTTAATCCAAAACAATTGTATAGTTATTTTATGTGACACTTTGTGAAAACTTAAAAGATCTTGACAATCCAATCAGAGAGCAATGACACCAGAAATGCAGGTTGAATAGATTCCTTTTTTGATGAAAAGATCATCTGTCACTTTTCAGCTGTGTACTCTATTTAATTTGGTTGTCTGTATAGCTAACTGCTAAGACATCCTTTAGCATTTCAAATATATGCAATGCTTAGGAGTAAATTACTAATGAAATTCCATTTATTGTTTCTTATTTTTCCACTGGCCTCCCTTTTCTCAGTGAAAAAGGAACCTGGTCCTCTTCAGGTCACAGGTGCAGTAGTCATTGGCAAGGGGGCAGAGGCACTGCTCAAGGGACCCTGTGGATCCAGTTTTCCAGGGTTCATGCACCACCCAGGAAGCTATGAGAATTAATTGCCTAGGATGATTTTAAGAAATTGCTCCTGTTTTGGGGGGACTACAGGAAAATCCAATAAATGGAATTTCATTTACTATGGATGAAAAAGGCAGACTTCTACATTACCAGTTGCTAGTAGTTTTCAATTCCAAATGGCAACATTTTAAATCCATCAACACTTGTTGATCACCAATTATGTGTTAGAGCTTTCACTCTCATTTTTCATAACTATAATTAAATTCTGTATGAGTTTCCATTTTGAATGTTGAATCTATAATTTATGGCTATATGATCAGGTCAAAATTACCAGGTTTTAAAATTTCATGCAAAATAAAAAGAAAGAGAAGAAAGAAAAATCTTCATCTCCTAAACATGATTTCTCAGATCATCATTTTTAAAGTGAAAACAACATAAGGATTCAAAATATGCACTCCAGCTATGATTTCAACCAGTACAGTGAATTCCAAGTCTAATATAAGAATTTATGCTCCATGAAGGAAGTGCATTCTGGCTCAGCTCTGGTGTCAACCACCAACCTCTCCACCCTAAATAGCTCCCCATAGCTGGAAAGGCACAGAACTATAGCTGAAATTATAATGGAACTGACCTATGCACACATTCTCATCGTCCAGCTGTGCAGAAGCATTTCTGAAGTAGCCCAGCCTGCATAACTCACAGTGCTGCCCTCTAGTGTTGTGTTTACAGCTCACGCAAATGACTGTATTTAGCAGATCGATATAACTGCATCGATTGGAGTGGCCGAAGCATTCACAGTCTTGCAAGGAAGAACAGAAATGTATACAGAGTGTATACAGTAGCAGAGTAACAGCACACTACATGCTTGGATAAAATGAGGGATGGAGAAAAGATGGTGGAATGACATTACATACATGTGATTCAGCATGACACATGGTGACAACAGGTGGTTGTGACTGGCGTGGAAATAGCATCTGTTTCAAGCAGGCTAGAAAGGTTGGACATTCGGAACATGACTGAAGATTGTTAATTCTTGGCAGACAAGATGAACAGAAGCATTTGCAGGTGTACACCTTTTAAATTTTGGGAAGGCTCAGTTTCCATTGATACAAAATTCTAATTTTTGTACATGGAGAGTTTTACTATCTTTGCATTGTTTCCCCCATTTTCTCTTCAAATCTGCAGTATTGAAAAGAGGGAGGGGAGAATGTGAGCATTGAAATCAGATTCTGCCATCCCCTGGCTCCTTTGTCTCATCGTCATTTATATTAAGACAGTAACTCAGTTATGTTTTCATAGAAATCATGGACATTTAATTATTTTTCCCACCTAACACTAAAATGAAAAGATGGCATTCTTGGGCCTTTCTTCAGAGTAAGTCTGCATCTTTATGTGGAAGAGAAAACACAACAAACAAGAAATTTTTTGGTATTAAACAAGTACTTCTAAGATTTCCTTTTTTTCCAGTTTCAAGCAAAGTTTGCTTAGGAAAAACATAAAAGAGCTAGGCAGTTACTGTATTGCCAAATTTTGTTTTCTTCATCACTCTTGACTGTTAGCCCTACCCTCTGAGGCTTAGGCCTAATGGTGATAGGAACCAGATAGGAGATGGAGAGAAGAGGATGGGAACCTTGTGGAGAGCTGAGGAATGACTGTGTTTCTTCTTTCTTGTTTCTGGAACACAGCCAGAAGTTGTTCATCTAATTCCAACATTTCAAATAAAATGGCAAGGACAAATCCTCTGTTGGTATAACTCAATTTTCATATTAAAATGTGAGATGTAATGAGGAAGAAAGTGATTTGTTTTCTCAGAATACAGGGGTAAAGGAGTCATACATGATCCTGCAAACTGTGTTTGCCTAGAAACATCCCTCTCGTTAATGTCGAGCTTTTGCTTATTCCATTAGGGAGTCAAACACAGTCACCCACTCACTCACTCACTCATTCATTCAATAAATATTTTGTTGAGTTGGTTTCTTATGTGCTGGGAACTATGCTGTGTGCTGAGTTTCTCTTTCGGCTTGCATTCACTTTTGGGAATATTGCATTTTGATCACTAGAGCAGAAGTGAATGTTTTCAACAAGGAATAATACAGAGAAATGACAAGCTTTAAAATGATTTTAATTTGTATGTGACCACTCATCAAAACAGTGTGGATTTATTTATCAAAGAGCTACAACCAAGATCCTGATGGAATGAAATCAAATTTGGATAAAAAGCAGAGGAAGACACTAGAAATAGTAAAGAATAACAGATACTCAGGTCAGCACCTAGGAGATCTCAGTTGTTTAAGAAAGAGGAAAGAAGACGGGAAAGATCATGAAGTGAAGCCACTTCTTTTATCTGAAGTCAGCTGTAACAGGGTGTATACGTACTCAGGGAGGAGGTGGGGATGGGGATAGGGATAGGGAGGAGCCAGAGGGAGAAGAAAGGCAGTGGGAGACTCCAAAGTAGAAGATGGAGTAGGAAAACAGCCAAATAAATTAGTAGCTAAAGCATGCCAAGTTAATAATAATAACACCACCAAAAATAATATAGAGTCATAGGGGTAAATGTCTGGCCTAGCAGTTAAGACATAGGATTGGACACCTGCGTCTCACAATCAAGTACATGAGTTTGATTCTCAGCTCTGGCTCCAGTCTCCAGCTTCCTGCTAACGCAAACTCTAGGAGACAGCAGTGTTGGATCAATCAATTGGATCCCTGGTCAACAAGATAGAGACCTGAACTGAGTTTCTGGCTTCGGCCTTGGCTTGTCCCAACTTTAGCTCTTGTGAACATTTAAGGAATAAACCAGCAGATCGGAGCTCTACCTGTGTTCTCTTTCTGTCTCTCTGCTTATCAAATAATAATAATAAAAATAACAAAATTACAGAAATTCTCTTGGAAAACAATGTACATTTCACTCAAAACCATCAAACTTCTTGAGTTACAAATTGCTTATACTGGCATTTCTGTCTCTCTTGGGAACTAGGCTTCCAGAGCCTACCTCCATTGAGTTGAGTAAAATATTGTTCTGGCCTGGAGCCTCCAGGAGCCCTTGTTGCTCCAAAGGGATGAAGAGGCTCCTTTCTGGCCATCCTTCGCGGGTTCTTCAACCCCAGCTTGGTTCTCCATGCATCTAATTCAATGACTCTGCTTTTCTTTCAAATGTTTTTACGTACGAATATTCATTCTAGGAGCTCTCTGGCACTACACAGAAGCTGGATGTCAGGAAATTTGCCTAGTAGGTGAGACAAACGTGCCTGGGTAATTAAAAGAACAAAGTACTATGTGCTAAGAATGCAGAGCAGTGACACAAAGCAATCTAGGTGGAAAGAGAAAATCATTTAATGGGAAGGGAATTAGGGAAGCGTCCTGCAGGATCTGTACCCTGAATCTTCCTTGAGGGCAGCTATGGTTTATTTTAATTGAAAAAACTATTTTTTTAAAGGAAGGGTGAAAGGAGCATTTCAGGTGAAATGAACAGAGGGAAGAATGCACAAAAGCATGATGTTGGGGAAATGCGGGGAACAAGGCCGGAGAACGTTCATAGTTCATAACATGGGTCCTTTGTGGTATTTTAGGGACCCTGTAGGACCTGCCAATGGCTGGTATTATTTGCTCAGCTCCATTTCATAACCTTTATCTAAGAAAAAATGTACCTGTAAAATATCCAAGTTCAATACTTTAAGGCCCATTCCATAAACCTCCACAGATATGCCAATGTGACACTGTTGCCTACTACTGTTTGAGTTTAGTGAACACTATGCACTTCTGTGGTGCTATTTATTTATGGGTCTTGCTTGAAAACTAATTTATTCATTTGGATCAGAAAATTTAAATAATTACACAAGAAACAATTCCAAGCTAAACTTACAATACTATGAGCTCATTTGGAAGGTATATGGATAAAGATGTTTTATCATCATTAAAGGATTGGGGCTGGTGCTGTGATATGTGCAGTAAAGCCACCGCCTGCAGTGCCAGTATCCAATATGGGTGCTGGTTCGAGATCTGGCTGATCCACTTCCTATCCAGCTCTCTGCTATGGCATAGGAAAGCAGTAGACAATGGCCCAAGTCCTGACTTGGGCCTCTGCACCTGTGTGGGAGACCCAGAAGAAAGCTCCTGGCTCCTGGCTTCGGATTGGCTCAGTTCTGGCCATTGCAGCTAATTGGGGAGTGAACCAGCGGATGGAAGACCTCTCTCTGCCTCTCCTTCTCTTGGTGTGTAACTCTGACTTTCAAATAAATAAATAAATCTTAAAAAAAAAATAAAGGATTTTATAATCCAGAAAAAATGGACCAATGAAACTTGATACTTTAAGACTCCCAGGATTCTTCTGAGACTTTGATAAAAGTACCTTATCTGACCATGACACATTTGAGAAGGTTGAATGAGACAAAGGTCTTTGAAAGTTACTTCAAAAACACAAAAGCTTGATATAAATGTGAGGCATTTCAAATATAATTAGTAGATAGCTATACTATTTTTCAGTATTCTGTTGATTTACCACACTTTAGTATTTGTCTTTCAACACAGGCACAGAACCCATTAATGATTATTAATGATACAATTTTAGGTGCAATATCATATTAAGACACTGAAGGGATGATATTAGTAGTTTAATAATTCTTGATCTTAGCCAAAAGGCCAAGAAGCAATAGTTGAATAATTATTTATTTTCCACTTCTCTAACCTCTCTTCTCTTCTCATAAAGTGTAGAGTCCATGCTCCTGCCTCAGAACTTCTTTCTTTTATTTACACCCCACCCTCCTTATAGTCTCCTGGGAAATCTGATTCCAGTTAAATTTTACTCTCCACAGCAGCTACATGTAGCTGGAATCATTTGAAACAAGTCTCTTGTTCATGGTCATAAATCTCAATTTGGCATTCTGGGTTGCCAGACAACCTTCCACCAGCAGGTGTTCTGGGCCATTCCTCTGTCTTGATTCTCCTCCTTCCTTATCCCCCATTGCTTTCTCTCTCTCTCTTTCTCTCTCTCTCTCTCTCTCTCTCTCCCCTCTCTCTCTCTCCTCCCTCTATCTCTGTCACCCTCATTCCTCCCTCTCTCTCTCTCCCCTCACTCTTCTCTCTCTCCCTCCCTCTCTTCTCTCTCTCTCTCCCTCCCTCCCTCTCTCCTCTCCCTCCCTCTCTCCTCCCCACCCCCCATCTCCTTGAATGTCTGACAGCTTAGTCTTAGGTCCTCATTGCTCTTTAGATTCACCTTACCTGTTTATCACACAGCTCCAAGACTTTAAAAACCATCTACATGTGGATCATTCCATACTTATTTCTAGTCTGACCATCTCCCGAGTTACTTATTAAGACATTATTCATACTCATATACAGTATCCACTGCTTTTTAAACACCTTCACTTGGATGTTTAATAAAGATTTCAACTTTAACTTGTTCAAAACTGAGGTCTTGGGCTACTTTCTTAAACTTGCCTCTCATCCAGTAAATGATGACTTTATTTCTCTAATTTCAAAACTTAAAATGCTGGGAATTTTTCTTGAAATTTATTTTTCCAACTCCCTACCACAAATAATCAGATACTCTTGGCAATGCTTTTAAAATACATTTTGAATCTCAGTACCTCCTACCATCCTCACTAACTCATTCTGAGTCAATGGCACCATCCTCTCCCACCTGAAGGATTGACATTGTCCCCAAACTGCTCTCCTGGCTTCCACCCTTGGGATAAATCTCCTTTCCACAGTCACAGTGATCCCTCCAAAACTTCCATATGGTCCAGACACTCCTCTGCTCGCAATCCCAGTTCTTTCCTTTTTCATAAAATAAAAGAGGGGTTT